GTTACGCCAGAAGCAGGTCCTGGGTGCGCATGTCGTGATCGTTCTTGCCGCGCGACGTGGCCGGCGGCCGGGCCGGCTTGTCCAGGTTCTCATACGAGCGGAGCGGCCGACCGACGATGGCGGATATGCTGATGCCGCTGAGGACATCGGCCGCGGCGATCGAGGCAGCCGCCGCCGCCGGCGAGATGGCCGCAATGGCCGAGAGCGATGCCTGAGGGCTCCCGGGGCCGGTGCTGACCGCCGAGGCGGCCGATGTGGCAAGCAGGGCGGCATGGTGCGCGCGCGCGGATTGCGTCTGAACCGCCTTGCGGAAGCGCCGGGCGGTGTAGTCAATCGACAGATCCGTCCACAGGAAGGGATCATGCGTGTAGGCGCGGAAAAGGGTGGCCTACGGGTGCCAGAGGACAGCCGCGGCCGGGGCGGGCAGTGGGAGGGAAGGGCGCCACGATGGGGGAGGAGGCGCGCCAGGAAGGGTCCAAGTCAGCGAGGTTCCCAATAGCTCGAGCAAGTGTCCGGGTTTGCGCGCGGCAACCGGACAACCATGCAAGCGTACCTGCGCATCTAGCTGGGAAAAGAGGTTGGCGTGCTTCAGACGCAGATGCTTCTGCACGAAGGGCGGCGCGGAGAAGAGCTTATTGCAAGCCGTGCACCGGTACCGAGATTCCCGCTCCAGAAGGACCCGGTTGCGCAGTGTGTCAATCACGGCCGCAGCGCTACATGTGCATGCGCATGTGCATGCGCATGTGCATGTGTGTGTGAGAGAGAGTGAGAGAGAGAGAGAGAGAGAGAGAGAGAGAGGGTGTAAGTGAGGGGGGGGGGGCGTGCGCGTGCTAACACAGCAAAGGGGCTAGATAGTCGGCAGGGGCCGGCCTAGGAAGGCCGGTGAGAAACACGCACGCGTCACCGATACCGAAGAGGGCCTCCGGCAGGCTGATTGGTCCACCCGAGGTGTCAGGCATGATGGTCCCCGAGGAGGAAGAGGTCTCGGTAAAGGCGTCGCTCGGCACCGTCGGGAGCGGGGCATTCCAGCAGTGCAGCAGCGACTGCAGGCGCAGGGCGAAGTTGCGCGCCCGCGTGTCCAGCCAATCCATCCACGGGGCGGAGTTTTCTACATCACCAGCAGCATCGGTCAGAGGGGGCGGGGGGAGAGGGGGGGGGGGGGGCGGATTTGAGGCAGGAGACGAAAACACACCAGTGACCATTTCCCCATCAATGCCCGGGGGGATGACCGCTCGGACGATGCCAACCCCACCACAGCGCTGGGCCAGCGCCGAGAAGGACGAGAAGCGCGTCATCGAGTAGTAGTCCACGAAGTGCACCCGCCGGAGGTAGCTCACCAGCAGGTCCACGGCTTCCAAGTCCGGCATGGCGGCTGCCAGCTCGAGGTCCATGTCAGTGGGCGCAGGGGGAGCCGCCGGGCCGGGCGAAGCCACCGACCCTGCCGGCGCCTCGAGGAAGGGAGCCGCCGAGGGCTCCATCAAGGCGTCGGCCGCCGGCGGGGCAGGGGCCTCGGCCTCCGGCGCCGTGGCCGGCGTGACCCCCGGGGCAGGCCCGGCCGTGGCCGCCGAAGAGGACCCGGCGGAGGCGCCGGCCGAGGACGCCGGCGAGGCGGGCTGGTTGCTCAGGCTCAGTGACAGCGGCAGGAGCAGGGTCGGCTGGGGGGCTGTGGCGGCAGCGGCTGCCGCGGCGGCGGCCGCCGCCGCCGCCGCCCGCGCGGCCGCCCGGTCACTGTGGCTCTGCCCGCCGGACATGTTCAGCACCGATGTCAGATCGGTTGCCGGGCGGAAGTAGACGTCCGACTCGCGCTCCGGGAAGTAGGTGCCGGTCGAGAAGATGACCGCTCGCGCGGAGGCCGGCAGAGGGTGATGGCCAACCCCCTCGCCGCTGGACGCCTGAAGGATGACCTTGCCAGACTTGTCGGTGATCTTGCGCTCCAGATCCAGCAGGCGGACCAGCTGCGACAGCTGCTCGCGGTCGTGGCGCAGACGCTCCGGCGTCGAGGAGGCCGACGGGACCAGCTGGGCCTGGAATTTGGCCGATGGCAGGACAGTTGCCTGGAGATAGGCCCCAGACAGCTATGGAGGGGGGGGGGGGCAGGGGGGAGGGGAGGCGGAAGGCAGCCGGATTGCGGATGGGGGAGAGGGTGGCGAGAGGCGGGCAGAAATGCCGTGTTGGATGTCCAGGAAAAGAAGGACGTCAGTGGGCGGCTGCGGGGATAGAGTGATCGAGGCCCAACGATGAGAGGAGGGCAGAGAAAGAGAAAGAAAGAGAGAGAAAGAGAGAGAGAAGGAGAGAGAGAGGCAGAGAGAGGCAGAGAGAGAGAGAGAGAGA